AAGTTCGATATAAGATTTTGGACTCGAGGGTCCCCCTTTGTAATGCGATCTCGGAAGGCAGGCCCCCCCCCCCCCCCCCTTTGCAATACGAGCTCGGAAGCGGGAGCTCAGCTTTCAGAGGTACGTATCGAGAATGACTCGGACCGAACATTTTCTAAGTCAAAAATTTTCAAAGTTTTCTTGGAAACTACTTTTGTTCATGTTTCCTGCTACCCTGATCATTATGAGCCAAAAATGTTTTTTTCGGTTTTCGAAGTTCGATATAAGATTTTGGACTCGAGGGTCCCCCTTTGTAATGCGATCTCGGAAGGCAGGCCCCCCCTTTGCAATACGAGCTCGGAAGCAGGAGCTCAGCTTTCAGAGGTACGTATCGAGAATGACTCGGACCGAAAATTTTCTAAGTCAAAAATTTTCAAAGTTTTCTTGGAAACTACTTTTGTTCATGTTTCCTGCTACCCTGATCATTATGAGCCAAAAATAGTTGAGAGGTCGAAACTTGATTTTTATGATGGTTTGGGACAGGTAGAACCCATTTTTAAACTAAAACATGTCCCACCTACCCCGGAACATAAAAGCACTACAGGGGTAAAGATTTTAAAGTCTGGATTTTAGTTGGATTTCGGTCATTTTGGGATGGGCGTGGCCCCTGGGAGTGGCCCGAGTGGGTTGAGAGGTCGAAACTTGATTTTTATGATGGTTTGGGACAGGCAGCACCCATTTTTAATCTAAAACATGTCCCACCTACCCTGGAACATAAAAGCACTACAGGGGTAAAGATTTTAAAGTCTGGATTTTAGATGGATTTCGATCATTTTGGGATGGGCGTGGCCCCTGGGAGTGCCCGAGTGGGTTGAGAGGTCGAAACTTGATTTTTATGATGGTTTGGGACAGGCAGAACCCATTTTTAATCTAAAACATGTTCCACCTACCCCGGAACATAAAAGCACTACAGGGGTAAAGATTTTAAAGTCTGGATTTAGCTGGATTTCGGTCATTTTGGGATGGGCGTGGCCCCTGGGAGTGGCCCGAGTGGGTTGAGAGGTCGAAACTTGATTTTTATGATGGTTTGGGACAGGCAGAACCCATTTTTAGTCTAAAACATGTCCCACCTACCCCGGAACATAAAAGCACTACAGGGGTAAAGATTTTAAAGTCTGGATTTTAGCTGGATTTCGGTCATTTTGGGATGGGCGTGGCCCCTGGGAGTGGCCCGAGTGGGTTGAGAGGTCGAAACTTGATTTTTATGATGGTTTGGGACAGGTAGAACCCATTTTTAAACTAAAACATGTCCCACCTACCCCGGAACATAAAAGCACTACAGGGGTAAAGATTTTAAAGTCTGGATTTTAGCTGGATTTCGGTCATTTTGGGATGGGCGTGGCCCGAGTGGGTTGAGAGGTCGAAACTTGATTTTTATGATGGTTTGGGACAGGCAGAACCCATTTTTAATCTAAAACATATCCCACCTACCCCGGAACATAAAAGCACTACAGGGGTAAAGATTTTAAAGTCTGGATTTTAGCTGGATTTCGGTCATTTTGGGATGGGCGTGGCCCCTGGGAGTGGCCCGAGTGGGTTGAGAGGTCGAAACTTGATTTTTATGATGGTTTGGGACAGGCAGAACCCATTTTTAATCTAAAAAATGTCCCACCTACCTTGGAACATAAAAGCACTACAGGGGTAAAGATTTTAAAGTCTGGATTTAGCTGGATTTCGGTCATATTGGGATGGGTGTGGCCCCTGGGAGTGGCCCGAGTGGGTTGAGAGGTCGAAACTTGATTTTTATGATGGTTTGGGACAAGCAGAACCCATTTTTAATTTAAAACATGTCCCACCTACCCCGGAACATAAAAGCACTACAGGGGTAAAGATTTTAAAGTCTGGATTTTAGCTGGATTTCGGTCATTTTGGGATGGGCGTGGCCCCTGGGAGTGGCCCGAGTGGGTTGAGAGGTCGAAACTTGATTTTTATGATGGTTTGGGACAGGCAGAACCCATTTTTAAACTAAAACATGTCCCACCTACCCCGGAACATAAAAGCACTACAGGGGTAAAGATTTTAAAGTCTGGATTTTAGCTGGATTTCGGTCATTTTGGGATGGGCGTGGCCCCTGGGAATGGCCCGAGTGGGTTGAGAGGTCGAAACTTGATTTTTATGATGGTTTGGGACAGGCAGAACCCATTTTTAATCTAAAACATGTCCCACCTACCCCGGAACATAAAAGCACTACAGGGGTAAAGATTTTAAAGTCTGGATTTTAGCTGGATTTCGGTAATTTTTGGATGAGCGTGGCCCCTGGGAGTGGCCTGAGTGGTTCAAGAGCTTAAAACTTGGGGTTTGTGATGGTTTGGGATATGTACTACCTATTTAAACACCAAAACATGTTTCAATTACTCAGCAACACAAATCACCTTCAGGGCCCAGGGGTAAGATTCTCATTCTGGATTTTTAGGGATTTGTCACAGATTTCAAGCTATTTGGGATGGGCGGCCTGAGTGGGGTGGATGTGTTACTTAGATTTCCATATCTTATAAGTGTCTATAAAAGTTTAAGTACGAGCAGTTTATTGGGACTTCTGACTTCTACGGTAGAAGTAACCGTCGTAGATTCTACAATGATAAATATTGTAAAGTACGTGCGGCGCGCAAAATCCACTACAAAACCTACTACAAATTTCAAGGAAACGTCTTCTGTTACTAGTTTACTTGGTTCTTAAGAATATAGAAAGATGTCACAATGCGCGCACGTACCAACTTATTCTCTGAATTTTGCCATGCAAATTTTGGAATTTGGCCGCCAAATTTTTTTGGAGGCCTAAATCAAAAATCGGCTTCCTAGAATAAGGTGGAAATGCGATTTAGAGTCGATTCCGAAAATTTAATGCAAAAATTTTGAAAACTGATTGAGTTATTTCCCAATTAATGAAATCAATTCCGCGAATGAAGTCTGAAGATACGGGCAATTTTGTTCATTTTTTGGGGTATTTTCGCCTTAGTATCCACATTTAAACAGATATAGTGGGCTAAAGTAGTGGATGTCCTTGCTGTACGGCAAGTTGAACAAGGAACTGAAACTACTAGGTTCCGTACAGGCTCAACTCTACACCCATGTCAATATGTTCATATGCAAGCATCTTGATTATATAAAGCTATAACTTACAGAGAATATGTAGTTTAGGCCTACCTTTTATGTTAAGTTAGTCTTATTCAAAAATATTGATATTTGACCAATTTATGGGACGAAATCTACCAAACTTGGTGCGTATGCCTAAATATGGGCATATGGTTTTTGGCTCATAACTCAGTCATTTTTTGTCCAATCTTGATGAAATTTCATATACGAGTTCAGGAGACCACTAGCTACAAGTAGAGCACCATAAACCTGGGGTTTGGGCATGTTCAGGGTATTTGGCTAAATTGGGCCTAATTTGGACCAAATATGGGCGTGGCTGCCGCCTGCCCCGCGGGCACTGTTTGGCGGTTTGGGTCGACCCCCTCAAAAGTTCGGTCACTGGACACTGGTCCTAGTTTGTTGGTCAACCGCTATCTCGAAATCAAGTTTCACAAAAAAATACCCATTGGTGCACCTTTCCCGAAGTTGCACCGCCGCCTTCGACCGAACTTGGCTACAGTAAAACTCGTCTATCAAATTATAGCTATATCACCTCACTATTCTTCGGGCCGTAAAGGCTCTGACTAGATGTTTACTTTCAGTCGGTTAACAATAATTGTGTTGTGGTGCGTGCAAACCAGGTAAACTTAAATTATTGACGCTTACTCGATTTTTCATGCAACATAAGTATAACAAACTAACTCGTCGATCCTTTGAGCATGAATCTAAAAGTGTATTTTTGTTTATCTGACTGCGGTAAATCGGAGTTTTAATGTACTTTTGCTCGGACTTTGGAGCCGACCTACGTCAGTAAGTAAAGTGTACTTCTTGTTGAGAAAAATTGAAATCCCCAACTGCTCAGAGTACAGTGCTAATGTCCGCGCTGCTGTGCGACACTTTATATTTTACAACAATCAACGGAGACTTTAGAAATAAAAACAGGTTTTTCTACTTGGTTATTCAATAGCAATATAATGGAATACAAAACAAAAACAACAACAAAATCAACTATAAAAAGCAAATAAAATCCGCTGTTGAATGTTCACATGGCTTCTCCCGCTTATTTTGTAAAACTAAAGAATTGTTTTCACGCTAAACCTTATCGGTGATGGCTTAAACTGTTTTGATATTAATGAAACGCCAAAAGGTTGAACCCATGTAAAACTATGAATGCTCTTGGCGTCCCAAGCACTATGATAAACATAATTTGAAAACAAAATCTGAGCTGCTGTAAGTATGAACGCTTCTTCTATTTGCATTCACATTAATTAAATCATCACCAATAAGGTTGTTCCTCAGCTGTACAGTTATTTTTGTTATTCTGGGTATATTTCATTGATCTGATGAAATACTACGTTCTGTTAGGATAAGAGTCTTATTGTCATAACTCATAGCAACCAACCGAGCTTTGATTTATTATTCAGTGCAGCACTTTCGCTCGCTTGTGAAAAATCTGCAGTTTTAGTTCTCACCGGCCTGCTATCACAGTGATTTAACAAATAACTGTCTTAGCAAATATATATGATACTGCCCCCAAAGCTGTGTACCTCAAAATATTAACATCATCCCCGTTTACAAACTGGACATACAAGTAATCTTGGCTGAATCGATCTAAATGCTTGAAATTCCACATACCTGCAGAATTTCGCTGGATTGTACAACTTTCGTCTTGGTAGATTCCAAACACAAGGAAATTTTCCTTCTGGTTGGTAATATACTCAATGATGGAAGTATAGTGTATTGGCTATGCCCCGCTTACTAGTTTAGCTCTTTCTAGTCCCCTGATACACGGCATGTAAACAGGGATTGGCTAGTTAGAGGCGGTCCGTGTAGGCCTTACACTGTGCTTTCCGCAATACTCATAATACAAATTTGGGCCACCTACCCTACTTAAACTACAACTAATGCTTTATGGTATCTAGTGACATTCTATATAGTGAAGTCAATCAGTAATCACTAAACAAAATATTCAATTCGGGAATCCCGACCAAAAAAATCCCGGGATTCCCGAAAATCGGCAAAATTATCGAGATTCCCGAAAATCGGGATTCCCGAAAGCAAATGGTGCTCATCTTTAGGTCCCATTTCGTGTAAAACTTTTAATTTCATGTATATGCCACGACCCAACTAAAACTTTTAATTCAATTTTTTAATTATATTGCAGTCAACGAACATTCTAAAATTTGCAAATATAACACAAATATTTAAAATTCCCGAAAATCGGGAATTGAGAAAATATTCCGGTCGGGAATTCCCGACTGAAAATCGTCGGGAAATCCGGGATTCATGAATCCCGACGTCGGGATTGACTTCACTAATTCAATGTACTTACCATAGTAGCCCCAGCTCTTGCTTGAAGTTGAATTGCTACTTTGGTTTAACTTGTTACTATAATAAATAACCTAGCCCTTGCTTGAATAGCTACTATGGTTACTAGTTACTACAGCTATGGTAACCCATGTTACAGAAAATCTTTACATCTCCAGCTGTTGTAAGTAATACTAAATGATATAGCAACCATTAACCAACCATATCAACGTTGAAACTGTAGCAACATGATAACTATAGCAACATGATAACTATAGCAACATGATAACTATAACAACATGATAACTATATCAACATGATAACTATAGCAACAGGATAACTATAGCAACATGATAACTATAGCAACATGATAACTATAGCAACATGATAACTATAGCAACATGGTGACTATAGCAACATGGTATCTATAGCAACATGGTATCTACAGCAACGTGGTAACTATAGCAACGTGGTAACTAGATATTGTTTTCACCCTGTTTCACATACTCTGGTATTTTAGTTAAGTCCTCATCCTTTTCATCATCAGGCTCCTTCTTACACATCCTCATAATGTGACACACAATGTAAATCACCACCATGGACAACCCCAGGAAGATGTAGATAAAGGGGTATACCCTCCAGAAGAGGTACCTGTCACACTGGCACACTGGCCGGCCGCGGTCATCCTGGGAACAGTAACACGTCTCGTAGATTTCAGACAGGCACTTTACTCTATCCCGCTCTGTCCACTCAACACACTGGGGAAAGCCTGTCTTGTTTCTTGTACACCAGGATAGTGTCTTGGGTTCCGTGTTGTCATCTGCAGGGAGAGATAGCGTTACCTTATATGGTAGTGTTACTGTAGTAACATTACCTTATATGGTAGTGTTACTATAGTAACATAACCTTATTATATGTGGTAGTGTTACTATAGTAACATTACCTTATTATATATGGTAGTGTTACTATAGTAACATTACCTTATTATATATGGTAGTGTTACTATGGACTGTGGTTAATGGTAACACTACCTCACAAGGCAATAATGATACTTGGGAGTTGGGGTTTGCATCGTTATCTAGGGATGTATTTTAATAATACTGGATTTGATCTAAAAACCTTCTGCTGCTCCACAACTATCCTGTAAATATTAGTTATTAGACTGTCACAGTAATTGTAATTGTAAACAGACCGATACTATCAGTCTGTTTACTGCGGAGTCTAAGTGATATGGTTTAAACATGTAAAACAGTAAGAGACATCACAATCTGTTTAAGTTTTGAAGCCAGTAATGGAGGGCGCGTCTCTAGCATTAACCATGGTAACTAGGCGCGATAACGACGGTTACTACGAGGATGTGTCTAGAAAACCATGGTAACTTATATTGTGGGTGTGTCTTACCTGCGCAGTCTATGGTTATATTGAGGTGAGACAGTGTCCCCCAGCACTTGCCCATGCTGTACGTCATGTTATCGCTGCAATATCCTGCCAATAAAACAGGTATTAGCATATTTTATGATTCATAATTGTTTAATGGCCGATTTGCACAGCACATCGGCTAGCGCAACTAGTCTGAACCAGTCTGATAAACAGCATATATGTATGATAACCTGTTCTAGAATCAAGGTAGAATACACCTAGTCGTATTACTACTAATTGGCTTATTTATCATTCAGTCAGCACATTTGAAAATGGATCCTGGATCTTTAAAAGAGAACAGAATATAGAATTGCCGATATGATCTGAAGAATAGGATTATATGATAATATAAATGATTTTTATCTTTAGCCTGCAATTGGAAGCTTTCATCAATCATGTAGAAATAGAATATTGGAACTCATGTTGTGCATTTATGCATGCATGAAAAATGCCGCATAAACATTTACAAGATATCTGATATGGAGAAACTGCAAAACGCTTTTCCCAGCAGCTCACACGTCGATAATGATCAGACCTCACTTCACAACAGTGCCCACATACCACAAGTATTACTGCCTTACAAAACTGGAATAAAAAACCTTTGTAAATTGTCGAAATAATATACATAGATTCAGGTATAATTCGACTCTAGTAGTAGTAATGCAAAAGTTTATTGTCGATTGTAAATAAAAAGGACAATGGCGAGCACTTACCATTACGTAATACTTAGGTGACTTACTTACTAGGTTTAATTTTAATCTTATTATGCTTCCTTGATGATATAAAGCAGAGCAAGTTTATTGTAATAATTGAAAATATATTCACAAGATGTGTAACAGCGTCGGTGGTTGAGTGGTACAATTCTCGCCTGCCACGCGGGAGGCCCGGGTTCGATTCCCGGCCGACGCAGTACTTTTTACTGCAAATTAATAGAACTATTTGTTATCACTATAATTGTTATGACAAAATGTGTTACCAGATGGTTACGATCTGTACCCCTGCATTCTCAACCCTAACATTTGCCTTGATTAATGAGTTTAAGAGTAGAAGAGGTCGATATCAGAATAATTTATTCAACTTATTAATATCCGACAGCGACCTTACTTCTAGTTCTACTTCTATAGATTTAAGCCTAAGAAATGTCGAGGACCTCTTTAAACTTAGATATTTTGCTTTAAAAAGAAACAATTGCCAAGTGGTGAGCACTTACAGTTACTTTGTCGACTTATCTGTTTTGTTTATAAAACTGTGCATGTAAACAACTCATTTATTTATAATATATTTTTGGCAGCTATAAATGGAATAAATACTTAAACTCTTGCACGTGAAACAGTCTTTAACTTTCGTTTTAAAATAACCTCCAACTAAAAGTAATAGAGGTAAGGTAAAACATACTTCTATAGTTTTAATCGGATCAGCACAATTCGGAATATGATTATTAGTATGACGTAGAAATGTCGATTCATCTATTTACCTTTCACATTAAACATTTTCATCGCGGAATTTATTCAGAAAAAAACCGGAAATTTTCTTGAAAGTCACAAACCTGCGTCAGTGAAGTTAAAACCGTGTGCCTCGTTTGAGCATCCTTCTCCGAACATGCTACCAGTCACGGTGAACAGTAACAAAACTCTGAGCTGCTTCTCCATGGCATCCAACCTGCTGTTTTTACTTTTAGGAGTGGGTTACTTAGTTAGCTATCACTTTCGGTATTACATTCGCTTTCGTTTTTCACTTTTACTCTAACATATTTGATATGATGGAATAATTTAAGGCTTCTTAGAAAATATGCTTTTCGAATTAAATTTGGCTGGATAGATCGATCATATAAAAAGTAAAAATGGAGCCGGGAATATCTTTAAAAATACCCCTCTGCACAAAAATTAAAAAGATGAAATACACGCTTTAACTCCTGAAAAAGTAATATTATCTCATTTCTGCAGGTATAAAGGCACAGCTCTATTATAGAGCCACTAACTCACTAGGGTATAAGTTATAACCTCACTAATTATATTGACTTGTTTGAGCTCCCCTAAACCTCTTTACCCATCCTACTATAATTAGGCAACGAAGTCGTCCATTTAACACGATCCTTACTGGGCGGCGCTCATTCTGCCGAATCTTTATTATGTTTATGAACATTATAAGGTGAACACGGTCTCTAGGTAAACACGATCCCCCATACCCTCCCCCTGTTTGCTTCTAGTCAAGGAACAGGGTCCCCCATACCCTCCCCCTGTTAATTTCTAGTCAAGGAACAGGGTCCCGCCATACTGCTGCATATCCAGTCCAAAGGGCAAAAGTCCATTGGGCTAATTGGGCACTCTTAGCGAGATCCAGGACCCTGATTAGTTCCACCCAGTTCTCATAGACCTTTTCCATATCCCTTACCTTACTCTACAGGCACATTACTCACCATTTACCTTACAGGACAATTGAGTTAGCCCCACCCTTATCTTAAGTTACAGAAACGCAAAAGTGAAGAATTAAGTGACCGGAAGATAAAAGACCATCGAACGAAGACATCTACAGAAACTTACACAGGCTTACAGAAGGAACAACCCGGTATGATTTTTTTTTGTAGTATTGGTATCTATTTTTACCTAATGTTACCTTTTTATCCTTTCTAGTTAGTTAGAATTTTGTGAACTTGGCCATCCCGATTACCCTGGTCCCTGCTAAGGGCCGTTCCCCTGTCTCATGCAGGTCTAGTTTATCCATACGGCATATATATATACTAAACTTGTCCCCAGGCTACATCATAGCAAAAATATTAAAGTGTTTTACACTTAACTTGTTTTCCAGGCTAGATCATAGTGTTTTACACTAAACTTTTTTGTAATTCCCTGATCATTTGGCAAGACACTGATCTTTAGTAACGCGTCAGGGTAAAACCGCTAAGGTTCTTTCTCACGAATCTCTTAAAAAAACTTCCTTCTGCAGTTCACACCCTCTGACTGGCTTGCATTTAACTAGTTTGCTTGTTTTCTTGGGTAAATTTGTATTGATCCCGTTTGACGCCACAAGGAAAAGGCCCTTATCAGAAAAGGAATTATTAAACTATACGACTTATAAATAATATTACAATCCGGATGTTATAGTCATAACTAGTTTGCATCACTTTACTTGTTGCAATGTTATTATTACCAATCATATTTCTGTAGCTAAATATAGAATTAGAATATTGGTCAAACGACGGCGTAACAATTACATCTTAACAAATGATTATACAGAATAAAAACAAGACATATGAGAAAAGTAAATTAATGATCGCAGGAAAGCTGCTTTTCTTCCATATCAGACGCACTAAGAAGGAGAGGTTTTTATTTGTGGTAACCATAGTAACACTACCATATAAGGAGAGGTTTGTGGTAACCATAGTAACACTACCATATAAGGAGAGGTTTGTGGTAAACATAGTAACACTACAATATAAGGAGAGGTTTGTGGTAACCATAGTAACACTACAATATAAGGAGAGGTTTGTGGTAACCATAGTAACACTACCATATAAGGAGGTTCGTGGTAACCATAGTAACACTACCATATAAGGAGAGGTTTGTGGTAACCATAGTAACACTACCATATAAGGAGAGGTTTGTGGTAACCATAGTAAGGAGAGGTTTGTGGTAACCATAGTAACACTACAATATAAGGAGAGGTTTGTGGTAACCATAGTAACACTACCATATAAGGAGAGGTTTGTGGTAACCATAGTAACACTACCATTTAAGGAGAGGTTTGTGGTAACCATAGTAACACTACCATATAAGGAGGTTCGTGGTAACCATAGTAACACTACCATATAAGGACACGTGACGTCTGCTGAGGTAGGTCGTGTTAACTTGCAAGGTTATTCCAGGATTTTCAACTGTGAGCTTGAATAGCAAGATGTGAAAAGAAAGAAAGAAAAGTTTCACTCTCGCAACCATCCTAACAGGATACGTACAAAGATAATTGCGAAGATTAATTCTAGCGGATTTCATCACATAGGCTTATTGGGGTATGCAGCAATGAACAGAGAATAAGCAAAGTCATTACTGCTGGCTCTTTGTAAAACTACACACGGTTTACACGGAGATAATGAACAAGAGAGATAATTAGCTGGACAAATAGAAGTGCATTTGAGATCCAATTATTGAAGAATATGCGAAATGCTTGTAAACGACTGTGTGGTAAAAAAATGGCGTACACCAAAGTTTAAATGATTGCACAAAAAGTGTAATGGAAGAGAGATAATGAAAGTGTATGATCATCGATATATCGCTGGTAATTGGTCGGTAAATAATAGAAAACGCAAACAAGCGAACTAAAACGCGCTTTTATGACAACAAATGTGGTTAATCAGCCCGATTGTAAGTTTTGTTTTTGCGAGCACAAAGATGGTCACCATAGAAACACAAAGGATTTCCTGCTCTCCATTACAGCGAACATGGGACTTCCTGAAACCACAAAGAAATTTCCCATAGTTTAGCCAAAAGTAAAGCGTTACAAGGCAACATTAGAGCTCAAGAGAAAGTTGACGATACCAAACAAAACTGGGCGGTTCCGTGGAGAAATATTTTCTGTTCTAAATCAATCCGTTTAAATCCTATATAGAATATTATCTAGACCAGAAATCCCACTTTCCAGACAAAAGTGGTGGTGAGAAGAAATGGTCGGAGAGAGCACAATATCTGCCGTTCTGTTTATGTCTGCTGATCTTCTGACGGACATGAGGAGACATTCTGTTGCTCTGGCAACACAGCACTAAACATCGAGTTAGCATCGCACGAAGAGGTGGTGTACGAGGCAAGCAGCTAAAAAACTAAAGACAAGGCTCAAAATAATAACGATTAAGTTTGATACACTTGTAAATGAGTATGAAGCAACATATCCACTCACAAAATGAAGCTTTCAGGAAACCAAATATAATTGAAATTTCGATCCACGTTGTCAGATAAAAACACGTGATAATATTACACGTGTTATTGGAAGTCACGTGAACAACAAGTCAGCTGTGATTGGTGGAATCGACTAAAAAGTACACGTGCCGCTCTGAACAACTACAAAAGGGCGGGGGAACTAGAGATCTACCTGAAACAGATAGTTTTATGAAGGAGTAGGACTAGAGATTATCTACCTGATCTTCTGTCATTAAAAATGAAACTAAAACCGTGCAAAACGGCGGTGAAATTTCCTATTCTCCTTTGGAATAATCACCCTCCCATGAATCAGACCTAAAAATCCCCCGTCACGTGATGCGTCTCCTTGCTGGAACCAATCGGAAGCGAGCTGAATATCACGTGACGTTAGTAAGCGGGTATTTCCGGTGGCGGGGTGGAATAGCACTTGAAATTACTCTGATGACTACGAGTAGCGCTGAGTAGCTGGTACCGTTTACCTAATCCGGTGGATCCGGTCAATTATTGACAATTTATAATGAGGAGAGGTTCATTCAGCAGCTGCGCAATAAATCTCACATCTTATTGGAAGTGTACAAATTAGATAGTGTAAAATCATGTCCCTCGTGTCAACGTTCTCGGCCCAGGCTTCCCCAAATACTCTTAACTAAACCACTCATTTAATGAGTCTGAACTGAGAAAAAATCCGTAATAATTGTATAGTTTATGAGGACCATGACATAAACTTAGACAAATCGCAAATTACACTCGTGTAGTTGATAAAGTTACCTTAAATGGTATTGTTACTATGGTAACTACGTGCCTACTTAGTAACCTGCTGAGTGTTGATAAAGTTACCTTAAATATTATTGTTACTATGGTAACTGCGAGCCTACTTAGTAACATGCTGAGTGCTGATAACGTTACCTTACATGGTATTGTTACTATGGTAACTACGTGCCTACTTAGTATGCTGCTGAGTGCTGATAACGTTACCTTATATGGTATTGTTACTATGGTAACTACGTGTCTACTTAGTAACCTGCTGAGTGTTGATAACGTTACCTTATATGGTATTGGTACTATGGTAACTACGTGCCTACTTAGTAACCTGCTGAGTGCTGATAACGTTACCTTACATGGTATTGTTACTATGGTAACTACGTGCCTACTTAGTATGCTGCTGAGTGCTGATAACGTTACCTTATATGGTATTGTTACTATGGTAACTACGTGCCTACTTAGTAACCTGCTGAGTGCTGATAACGTTACCTTATATGGTATTGTTACTATGGTAACTACGTGCCTACTTAGTAACCTGCTGAGTGCTGATAACGTTACCTTATATGGTATTGGAACTATGGTAACTACGTGCCTACTTAGTAACCTGCTGAGTGTTGATAACGTTACCTTATATGGTATTGTTACTATGGTAACTGCGTGCCTACTTAGTAACCTGCTGAGTGTTGATAACGTTACCTTATATGGTATTGTTACTATGGTAACTGCGTGCCTACTTAGTAACATGCTGAGTGTTGATAACGTTACCTTATATGGTATTGTTACTATGGTAACTGCGTGCCTACTTAGTAACCTGCTGAGTGCTGATAACGTTACCTTATATGGTATTGTTACTATGGTAACTACGTGCCTACTTAGTAACCTGCTGAGTGCTGATAACGTTACCTTATATGGTATTGTTACTATGGTAACTACGTGCCTACTTAGTAACCTGCTGAGTGTTGATAACGTTACCTTATATGGTATTGTTACTATGGTAACTACGTGCCTACTTAGTAACCTGCTGCGTGCTGATAACGTTACCTTATATGGTATTGTTACTATGGTAACTACGTGCCTACTTAGTAACCTGCTGAGTGTTGATAACGTTACCTTATATGGTATTGTTACTATGGTAACTACGTGCCTACTTAGTAACCTGCTGAGTGTTGATAACGTTACCTTATATGGTATTGTTACTATGGTAACTACGTGCCTACTTAGTAACCTGCTGAGTGTTGATAACGTTACCTTATATGGTATTGTAACTATGGTAACTACGTGCCTACTTAGTAACCTGCTGATCGCCAGAGACAGTTATAATAAGTAGTATTCACTTTCTCCGCCCAAGGGTTCACTGATATGTACTTGGGGGTCATATGGGTTGCATAGTCCCCAGCTTCATGGGCGTGCACTGGGGGACTCCCCCTTTTTGAAATTTGAATCTTTTTGAAAATTGCTTTGTACAATGTAAAGCAAATTATCTTTTAAAAGATGCTCATAAAAAGATTGAATGACACATCAAACACAAAAAATGATTAGTTTCGAACTAATTTATTAAAGCATTAATTAGCATCAGGAAAGCGAGAGGTGTCATCATTATATCAGAATCATGGACACCACGAACTAGTACTAAATAGTTTACATTTGTCGCAACAAACGGGAACATAACAAATTTTCAAAATTTTGCCCCAGATTCATTACAACAATGCGACTAATAAATAATGTTATAAATATAGTACGGGCATTACATATAACCGAGTGTTTATCAACTGTCTTGACTCCCCCTGTCCAGCTCGCCCCTGGAATTGAAAGTTGGTGATGAGACTCCAACCTTAGCAAGTTGTGTGAGCTAATCCCTTACCAAACAAGTGGTTAAGAAACAAATCTTTAAATTGCTGT